CTGCTGCGGCGGTGCCCTTTGTGCTCCACTTGACCCCTGGATACGACGCGGTCGCAGCGGATTAGAAGTGCCCCCCCTCCCCCTTCCCCAGTGCAGTTTAGTGGCGTCACGGGTAGCCGCATAGCGAAGATGATGAAAAATTGTGCGGAGGTCTACACACTCGGCGCTGCCGGAACCTGTTCCTCTGCTGCTTTATTATGTCAGGAGGAACTCGCGCGCGCCGCCGGGGCGCGGCACAGCTGGGCGCCGCCGCACACACCTGCAGCTGCATGGGGGAGGGAGGAGGGGGGGGTCTGAAACTAGAAGAAAGTGACGCAGATACACGGCCAGCAGCGGCAGGTGCCCGCGTCCCCCGGCAGCTGCAGATGCAGAACACACGGTACGAGCGTACGCGGGCGCACGGCTTGCTTGGAGAGAGAGGGGGGGGGGCCTTTGTTTTGCAACGGCTCTGCCTGGTGCTGCTAGCGCGGGTGCTGGCGGCTGCTGGCGGGCTTGGGCCGAGCCGTTCGACTAGCCGACTTTGTGAGCTCCAGGTGGATTTATGGGCGGGCGCGCAGAGGGCCTAGGCCAGGTCGGGCCAGAGCCCGCCTCTTTACGAGCGTCGTGTTCGTCGCTGATACGCTACTGCTGCCCGCTGCGCTGCGTGGGCGGCCCGGCGCGGCGGGGCCCTCTTCGCCGCACACCGCGGCACACCCGCGACTCGGTCAAGGCTGGCGGCCGTGTGTGTTGGGGTTCTGGGGACACGCGCCGCACGCATGGGAGCGCCCCGTGTGTGTCGTCTAGCTTCTCTTGCTGCGGTGCAGCGCGCTGCAGTAGAGGCCGCGGCAGGCGGGGCCCGTTCTCGTTATTGGATCGGCGGATGCCCTGCCTATAGGCCATGCCCGCCCGTCTGCCGCCCGTCTGTCCGTCTATCTGCCCGTCAGTTGTCAGTGGAGAGCGGAGAGGCGGTGGAGCTGCCAGGAGGAGTGCAGGAGCAGGGGCCTGGTGTGTCAGGGTGGGGTCGCAAGCTTGTCAGCGGCGGGGCGGGGCTGGGCTGGCTGACCTGACGTCAAGGTTATTGGGTCGGATTGTGATGTGGGCCGCGCCACGCCGCGCCACCCCTCGGATACTTGCCTGCTTCCTTTCCGCTCTGCTGAAATGAAACGGTACCATCCTCGTTTTGCCCCGGCCGAGCCGCGCGTCGGGGCTGGCTGCCGCCGGGGCTGCCGCTTGCAGTCGACCGTGCCTGCCCGCCCCCTTC